AGTACATGAGGACCTTCAGTCTTCTTAGATACGTGATACATTGTTTCACTTACGTAGCAACCAGCACTGAAAGATGACCAAAGGAATCACACAGTGACACTGAATCTCATGGAACTCATGGGCAGTGACTATATTACATTGACATTTTAAATTCCCTTGAGTAATCAGCCACAAATGTTTCATTTCAAAGTGTGCTACAAATGCTAGGAGTTGAAAAACACCGGGAGGGAATATTTCAAGACTTAGAAGATGTGAAAAGATTTCCTGGCAGAAATCCCAAATCTGAGCACAATCCAGAAAACAGTGAAGACTGAAAAAAAAGTGACCCAAGAGAGAGCAGGAGATTCCAAACAATAATTTGAAATTAAAAGCTGTTGCAAAATTGAACATGAAGCCTATGCAGGAAGGTGTTTTTGAAGGGATTCCAAACAAGGTACTATCTGGACAGTTGGTGGGAGAGAGAGAGAAAGAAAGAAGGTCAACAACAAATATGGCACTCCCAAAATGGAAGAGGCCCACATTACAGCCCCTCCTTTTCTTTTTAGATCCTTAGGTATTAACGTGCAAAACTTAATTTTTTGTAGAGCACAGCTAGTGTATAACTGCTGGGATTTTAAACTAGAGTTTAGAGTCTTGAGTTTAACTCCAACTATTATGAAAGCAGAACGTTCAAGGCAGTCCACTTCTCTCCTGGTAGTAATTAAATAAGCTGGCTATACAGGTAGAAATAAAATAAATTGAACTCACTTGCATTCGGTGGTCAGATTCAAGCCTATTATTAAGGAAGAGAAAGCATACATTCATTTTTTAAAAAATATTTTTAGCTATAGATGGACACAATATCTTTATTTTTTTATGTGGTGCTGAGAATTGAATCCAGTGTCTCACACGTGCTAGGAAAGCATTCTACCACTGAGCCACAACCCCAGCCCCATTCATTCATTTTTAAAACAAGTTTGTTTGATTTTTTTTCCAGTACTGGAGATTGAACCCAGGGGCCCTTTATCACTGAGATGCATCCCTAGCCCTTTTTCATTTTCTTTTTTGAGATAGATTCTCTTAAGTTGCCAAGGCTAGCCTCAAATATGCAATCTCCTGCCTCAACCTCCTAAGTAGCTAGGATTACCACCATGCCTTGCTAAGCAAGTTTTCATGTGTACCTACTATTTCCAGCTTCTATACTAGGCTCAGGAATATAATGTTGAGCAAAACAAACAGAACCTTTACCCTCACATAGCATTGCAGATGATAAGATGTGAGTTAATTATATAATCTTTACATCTTAGGTATAAACTGGGAAAGTCTATAGAAGGAAAGAACACAGAGCATAGGAGATGAAGGAAGCTTTTACTGGAGGTGTAGTTGCAGTCAGCCAGGAAGGATGGTGGAGACAGGTGGCCAAGAGCATGATGGTGGGTTGGGTAGGGGGGTGAGTAGGGGTTGGCATGATGAGTGGCACAGGGAAAACAAAGGCTGGTGTGTCCAGGGCAAAGAGAGCTAGAGAGGCAGGCAGGGCTGGACCTGACAGAGCCTTGGGACTTCTTAAGGGATTGCAGGGTTTTGTTTGTTATTTGCAGTGCTGGGGATGAACTCAGGGCTTCACACATGCTAGGCAAACACTCTACCACTGAGCCACATCCTCAGCCTACAGGGTTTTTTTTTTTGTTTTTTGTTTTTTTTTTGTACACAATTGCAGCACAACTTTACATTTCTATGGCTGTACACAATGTAGCATCACACCATATGTGCAGTTATACTTGTACCTAGGGTAATGATGTCCATCTCATTCCATCATCTTTCCTATCTCTAATACTCACTCCCCACCCTTCCTCCCCTTTCCTCCATCAAAGTTCCTCTATTTTTCCCATGCCCCCCCATTATGGATCAGCATTCACTTATCAGAACATTTGGCCTTTGGATTTTGGGGATTAGCTTACTTCACTTAACACAATATTCTCCGTTTATCTGCAAATATATACACACACCACACTTATTTTTATCCATTCATCTATTGAAGGGCATTAGGTTGCTTTCACAGTTTAGCTATTGTGAATTGAGCTACTATAAACATTGATGTGGCTGTGTCCCTGTAGAATGCTGATTTTAAGTCCTTTGGGTATAGACCAAGGAGTGGGATAGCTGGGTCAAATGGTGGTTCCATTCTAAGTTTTCTAAGGACTCTCCATACTACTTTCCAAATTGGTTGCACCAATTTGCAGTCCCACTAGCAATGTATGAGTGTACCTTTTCCCCCACATCCTCACCAACATTTATTGTTGCCTGTATTCTTGATGATTGCCATTCTGATAGAACTGAGACGGAATCTTAGCCTAGTTTTGATTTGCATTTCTCTAATTGCTAGAGATGATGAACATTTTTTCATATATTTGTTGATCAAATGTATATCTTCTTCTGAGAAGTGTCTGTACAGCTTCTTAGCCCATTTATTGATTGAGCTGTTTGTTTTTTTGGTGTTAAGTTTTTTGAGTTCTTCATATATACTGGAGATTAATGCTCTATTTGGTGTGCATGTGGCAAAAGTTTGTTCCCAAAATGTAGGCTCTTTATTCACCTCAGTGATTGCTTCTTTCACTGAGAGAAAGAGACTTTCACTAAAAAGTCTGAGTCCATCCCCATTTATTCTTGATTTTATTTCCTGTGCTTTAGGAGTCTTGTTAAGGAAGTCGGGGCCTAATCAGTTATGATGAAGATTTGGGCTTACTTTTACCTCTATTAGGCACAGGATCTCTGGCCTAATTCCTAGGTCCTTGATCCATTTGAGTTGAGTTTTATGCATGATGAGAGATAGGGGTTTAGTTTCATTTTGCTGCATATGGATTTCCAGTTCTCCGAGCACCATTTGAAGAGGCTATCTTTTCTCCAAAAACATTTGACAAAATATAGCACCTTTTCATGTTCAAAGCACTAGAAAAACTAGGGATAGTAGGAACATACCTCAATATTGTAAAAGTCAATATGCTAAACCCAACGTCATTCTAAATGGAGAAAAATTGGAAGCATTCCCTCTAACAAACTGGAATAGACAGGGATGCGCCCTTTCGCCACTTCTAAGAATTATTCAACATAGTTCTTGAAACTCCAGCCAGAGCAATTAGAAGAAAGAAATTAAAGGGTTATAAATAGGAAAAGAAGAATTCAAACTATCATTATTTGCTGACGGCATGATTCTATATGTAGAGAATCCAAAAAACTCCACCAGAAAACTTCTGGAATTAATTAATGAATTCAGCAAAGTAGCAGGATATAAAATCAATACCCATAAATCAAATGCATTTCTATACATCAGTGATGAATCCTCTGAAAGAGAAATTAGGCCATTCACAATAGCCTCAAACAAGCAAACAAACACTTTGGGAATCAACAAAAGAGGTGAAAGATCTCTACTATGAAAACTACAGAACACTATAGAAAGAAATTGAAGAAGACTTTAGAAGATGGAAAGATATCCCATGCTCTTAGATAAGCAAAATTAATATTGTCAAAATGACCATACTACCCAAAGTGCTATACAGATTCAATATGATTGCAACTAAAATCCTAACATCATTTCTTATAGAAATAGAAAAAGTAGTCATGAAATTCATTTGGAAAAATAAGAAACCCAGAATAGCCAAAGCAATCCTTAGCAAAAGAAAGAGTGAAGCAGGAGGCATCACAATACTAGACCCTAAACTATAATACAGAGCTTTAGTAACAAAAATGACATGGTATTAGCACCAAAATAGACATGTAGACCAATGGTACAGAATAGAAGACACAGAGACAAACCCACATAAATACAGTTATCTCATACTAAACAAAGGTGCCAAAAAAATACATTAAAGAAAAGCCTACAGTTTTTATGTTTTTATTCTTAAGAGCAGCAGGCAGTTGTTGTAGGAGAAATGAGGCTGGGCACAGAGGAATTAGCAGGAATCAGGTTTGTTGACTGCAATCAGGTCCAGAGGCAGCTTTTGCCTAAATCAATTTGTCCCTCTGAATCCCGAGTCTAGAAATTTTTAGAACTTTTATACCCAGTGTGTAGGGGGAGGGGCTCAGAGGCTCACCATCTGCAGAAGTCCACATAAAAGTACGCACCCAACCTAGGTCTGAATACAAAAATAATACAAAAATAACTCAGGGACACACTCTGCTAAATAATGCCTGAGAAAAGGAGAGTCCTGTGGGGTCCCTGCCCCTCCCCCATTCACCCCCCCCACACACACACACCCACCAGCTGGTTTTCAAGGAACCATAGGAACCTAATTTGCACCATTCACTCTTATCTTTCGGATTGTAAAGGACTTTCCCTGGGATCCGATTGCTTTTCTTTGAAGCCCTGTGAAGGCAAGGCTTGGCTAGAGGCCTTGAGTTAGTCTCCCTTCTCACAGTCTGCTTCTATAAACACACTTCCCACCTGAAAACTCTCACAGAAATTCTTGCTAATAGTCTAAGAACAGTTAGTCTAAGGTCGCTGGAGAAGCTTAATTACGATTTGATTTTTGGTGGGGGGGGTGCAACTATACAGCCAGAGAGGAGTGAAGCTATCAAATATTCATCTCTAAGGATTATTCTGGCTGCCCTGTGGAAATGGACCAATTGCTTGTGTTGAGGGGGCAGGGGAGGAGATATGTGGAAAGCCTGTGAAGGTTATTACTGTTGACCAGCAAATCAGTAAAATGTGACACCACCAAATGAGTTCAGAGGCTTGGTCCAGATTGAGAGCAAGTGAGAGCTGGAAACAGGTAGAAAATGGAGGGGTGGGCATGGGAATGATTTCCCTGTCTCTGGCTGTCTGGATGACTGGCATTTAAGACAAGTTCCTGGCAGGCCTTGGAGAAGGGGAGCCTTTCCTGATCACCTTCCACATGCTTGGAGGGGCCTCTTGGCTAAGTGGACCCTGGCTATATAATCACTTCCTGTTGCCTCCAGGTCCCCTGGAGGACACCTCCTAACATGCCCAGGTCTCTTCATCTCTCCTCTCTTGTGCACTTTCATAGGCACCACGTGCCCTACCCCCATATCTGTTGAACATGCAGATATCCGGGTCAAGAGTTACACCTTGAACTCCAGGGAGCGGTACGTTTGTAACTCTGGTTTCAAGCGGAAGGCCGGCACATCCAGCCTCACCGAGTGTGTGTTGAACAAGACCACGAACACCGCCCACTGGACTACGCCCAGTCTCAAGTGCATCAGTAAGTGGCCAGTACCAGGACTGTCCCCACCCCTTCTGCCCAGGCTTAACACGGAGCACAGCGGCATTGTGGGGGTTGGACAAGCCGGTCTCTGGGCAAAGAGATAGTATTGGGGTCTGAGGCTAAATATGCCCATGAGGCTGAGCAACATCTGCCAGAGGTGGAGATACTAGGTGTTGGGGTCACAGAATTTTGGGTTCAAATACTGGTTGTGCTGCTTATCACGTTGAGGCCTCCGGCAAGGCTTTTAGCCTGTTGGAACTCTGGTTGGACATCTAGAAAATGAACCTGATGTCAACACTGTGGGTTGTAGGAGGATTAAAAGGAGCCTGGTAAATATGAGCTATTACTACTATCCATGTGGGTTGTAAAATCAGCAAGAGAATTGGCTGATTCTGATTCTCAATCACATCCCTAACAAGGGTGTGCTTGCTTCCTGGAGAGCTTTTTGGATTTCTCATGAGAAGCTGAACTCTCTTGAGATCTTGATGATTGGTACCCAACCCAGTAGGCTGAAGTAGGCCCAGACAGCAGAATTTTTCTTGGCCTAGTCACCATATTTGGTATTCAGCCAATTCTCAAGAGCAAGGAGATGAGGAAGTTACAAGAATTAAAAAAATAAAATAAAATAAAAAGTACCTATCCTCTACTTAACTGCCATCCCAGAGGAAGTCAAATAATTTTGGAATGGAAACTAAGCCATTCAGTGATATTTCCAGAAATACTTAAGTCCTGTTCTGCTCTCCTTATTCCTCTGGGAAAATAAACGTTAACCCAGGGTCTTCCAAGAGAATGCTGATTGAACAAACATTCATGACATGCTCACTGCTGCCCAACAGCAGCTAGATACATTTTCATAGAACATCTGTGGAGATGTCTGACTCCTTTCTGGGACACAGGATGGGAAGTGGGGGTCCTTTAGCAAATTTCCTCTGTTGGAAACTCCCAGAAGAGCCATACTTTCTTGCTGGATTTGTAGTGTTAGATTACCCCTCTCCCTTTCCAGCTGCTCAGAATGAGTTAGTTATACAGATGTCAAGAGAAGGGAAGGAGGGAATCTTACCACTAGTTCCAAGGAACTGCAGGACTGGAGAACACTGCACTCCACGGCATTGGGTACAGTTGAAGGGAAAAACCCAGGGTGGCCAGGGACAAGCAGTGTCCGTGGAGCCAGAAGTGGAAAAATCAGGGCTTTTTCAGTGTTGGGAAAATTATGTTGACTCAAAGCTCCACATCTTTGGGTGAATGAGTAGGATGGAGAAGAAGTACGGCTCTGAACAGGGCCAAGAGGGGAGAGGAAACAAAGAATTTTAAACCAGATTTTAGAGCCCACCGATTGGAGGCATCTTTAGGTTTCCTCTGGACCAAAGTTTCCTCCCTCACAAATCTTTACCACTACCAACTCTGTTCATTGTGTTTCCCAATCCCTTATGCTTTGGATGATTTTTTTTTTCTGTTAGGCAAATGGAATCTATTTTGATCACTCATTTTCCCATGGGAAAACCAGGATTATAAACCTGAGTTGATATCAGATGTATTCCAACCAAAAATAAATTTGATGTTTCACCTGTGCAGTCTTTTTTTAGAAATGCTAGAAAAATTATAATCTGTCTTTGCATTTGGGTTGGGAAACACTGTTTCCTTCCTGTGCTTCTAACCTGTCCTAAGAAGCCAGCTATTTCCATTGTAAATTTATGTATTGATCTTTTATTTATATCCAGTTCTGATGCCACCTTAGTGTTCACGCTCAGGATCATAAATGCCATGTGGTTGTCCTTTCTCTAGGAGACCCCTCCCTGACTCACCAAAGGCCAGTGCCAGTGCCACACTCCACAGTAGTGACGGCAAGGGTGACCCCACAGCCAGAGAGCCCCTCCCCTTCTGGAAAAGGTAGGAATAAAGGAAAATTTTTAGGAACTACCATCTAGATCCCTCCTTCTCCACCAATCCTGCAGATTCATGGACCTCTGATGATGTTCCAGTGACAACTTGAGTGATAGAGCAAAATTTTATTAAAATCAAAAATAAGACTTAGAATAGCTTAATTGTTTAAGTCAAAGTGGCTTGAGATCTAGGTTTCATATGTACATAAATAATAGTATTTAGAATCCACTATTAATATGCCAAACCATATTTAGTTGTACACATTTATCATTGTCAAGAATTGGAAACAGTCTGAAATTTGACCTCACTTGTTTGTTAGTCTGTCACTTTGTCATGGGTGCTGACATTCTTGGAGGGTAAACAAATAACTTTTTCACTTGGGGCACAAGTAGCAAGAGCATCAGCATGTTAGCAACAATCCCTTGACTCTCAGGCCCACAGGGCAACTTCGATGGGCCTAAATAAATGCATGCATTGTTCAGCAGGCTGCACTGTCTGGGAGGAAGGCTGAACTCAGGGAATCTGAATGTTTTATACTTGGCAGCAAATATGTCTGCCCTTTCCTAGAAAGAGGCACTGTCTCTATCTTCAAAGGTACTTGCAATATATGTGTCCTTAAGCATATAGTTCAGAGAAAGGTCTGTCAGGCCTTTGTTTGCAAGATGTGTAGCAATGTGAGGGACCCAGGAAGAGCTGTCACCCCTTGGTCCTAAGCATCACCAAATTAACAATAGTGCTCTATTATAGAAGCACTGCATGAAACCACCAATGTTCTGTATTTTAACTAAGTCTTGGGTAATCTTTTAGCCCAATTTCCTTAACACTTTCTCAATTGGAAACTTTGGAAGCTAAATATCTTGGCTAATATGCCTCATATCCAATGGCACCCTTATTTTACATTTAACTCTTGTTTTTTTAGGGCCAAATCATTCAATCTGTGACTTTACCTGGATCTTTCTTCCCTCCTTCTCGCCAGATGTGGTCATCTTTCTTTTCATTCATTCTGTTCTCTTCAGGCACACCTTCCCAGAGCTTTGGTTCTCAGCCTTGGAGGCACAGTGAGAATACCAAGAAACTCCACATGGTCCAGGGAATGATCTGGAGTCAGAGGCTATAGAACAAGAACCATGTGGTTCTAGGGTAGCCCAGGCTAAGGACCATTGCTCAAAGCAGGACAGAGAGGCTGAAGGGAGGCTTCCTCTTCGTAATGGGTTGCTTGCAAACAAAAATAAGGAGTTAAAGTATTAGCTCCATTTATGTTGAGGGTAACTCCCAAACTCCTTTGATCTGAATCACACACAGTTCAGAGAGATAAGAATGACCAAGTAACCTTTCCCAGTCCTGCCTCCATGCCCCCAACACTTGGTCAAATAGCTGTTGCTGAGACAAACCTCAGATGTAAGAGAAACCTTTAACACAAATTATGTGACTGTGGGTGATTGGATGTGAATGCTCCAGTGTCTTGATCTGCAGGGCACCTGTAGTGTGGGCAGCTTGGGTAGGGTTAGGTGGAAGGGAGGTAGTGACAAAAGATTGGAGGGTATGAGGACTTCTCACAATGTGTGTGGCTGGGAAAGAATGGGAACTCAGGCCACAACTGTGCATCCAGAGCCTGATGAAAAAATATAATCAGCATCCCAGCTGCCTTCAGCAAATACAGCTCTACTTGTGTTTTGGAGCCAAGTCTATCAGTATTTCATGAGCTTTTCTAGGAAACAGCTGAATGTACTTAACTGTGAGGGATCTTTTCTTTCTATGCACCACGGTAAATAACAGTATTTTTTAGAGTTATCACACATCCCATGACTCAAATGGAGGATATGTTGCTCACTTAAAGGACAGTTTGCTGGGAGTGAATGGGCTGCCACGGTGGGTTCACCAAAGTAGGTCTTTAGGTCCACCCTCTGCTGGAGCTGAGAAGGCACTAGTCTAAATATTTATGTTCTGTCTTGGAATTTCCTACAGAGCCAGCAGTTTTATCTCCCAAGTCAGATACCACAGTGGCCATAGAGACAGCTATGGTACCAGGCTCCCAGTCGATGCCATCCCAACCAACCTCCTCAGGAACCACAAGCGTAGGCAGCCATGAGTCCTCCCAAGCCCCAATCCAGACTACAGCAAAGACCTTGGAACTTACACCCTCAAACTCCCACGAGACACCAGGTTAGCACTAGCTTTGCATGAGAACCAGTTCCTCAGGGGCTGCTTCTGAGACTTGGGTTGAGACCTGGCCCAAGATAACTGCATGGCTTTATAACATTCAATCTCAAGCTGCGACTCACAGAGCTGCCCTCCTGCCCTCTGCCTCCCACAGGCCCCTTGCCTGGTCTCTGTTTTTGATGTTCCACCTGGCCTGGTCCAGTTGCGACAGCTGGAAATGAAATCCCCCTCCCAGATATGGCATGGCTAACCTTACTAGCCAGCACTGCAGAGACTGGACTAGGACTCTAAATGCCATCTGCAGCCTCCACCATGGGAGGGCCCTTCTGGAAAGCATGTCCAACTCTTAGGCATGATCCAGCACCTCAGTCAATTACCCTGCTTGTTCTTGGCTAAGAAGAGTTTGGTTATGCCAGCCATGAATCTCCTAAGGGTCTAAGATGGTAGCTCAGTTGTCCCTTATTTCTCCAGCTTCATGACACACTAGTACCTTTAGGACTCTATCCCTGACTGAGCTGTCCTTTCTTCTCTGCAGATGCTTCTTCATACAGCTCCAGAGAGACCACTGGTAAGTACTGTCCTTTGACCAGTATATTTATGACCAGGGTGATTGCAGACACAGAGTGTTGAACAGTCCTTGTCCTGGACGGCCCATGCCACTGTCCCAGCATGTTCACTGGAGGCTTCCCATTTCCCTCTCAGAAATGTCTCCATTATCTGATGGGGACATTCATCACATTCCTCATGTGATATAACTGTTTTTCGTAATAGTGATAGTTTCTGTCAAGCTACTGATGTTGACGGAACTGATGCACCAAGGGCTTTGTGGATCAGCTACTTAGTTCTCAGCAGGGCTAGACTCATTTCAGGGCCTGTTAGGAAGACACAAGTGCCTGATGCTGCTACTAACATGACATCATTCTTTGTCAGAACCTGCCTTGACCTCTCTCAGGGTGGGCATGGTGCACTGTCCGGAGAAACTACCAAGATTTCTCAGTAAAGAAGGCTGTTTACCCTAGATGCACAGCTTAGGACTCCAAGAGAAAGAAAAAGAATGTGCAAGTGAGTCTAAGAGGAAAATAGAAAAAAGTGTGAGAATGAAAGAAAAAGATGAAGACAGAAGATAGCTCAGAAAAGAGAGGAGAGAACACCTACAATGAACAAAGATAATTCTATGGGAGATCCAGGGGCAGGGAGAGAGCAAGGTGTGCAGCTTGGTGGAAAAGTGCTGGCCTGCCAGGGGTCGGGTTTCATCCCCAGCACTGCAGACACAACAAAAAACCCAAGATGCTCGGAGACAGATGCAGATAGCAAGAAAAAACCTAATACTTAGTAGTCTGATGAGCTTTCAAAGGAACAAAAAGAACAACACAACTGTAATACAACTGTAATTTGAAATGGGTAAAAACTATTTCTTTCTAGTCATAAGTTCACATTTTTTGTGGTCCCATTTTACTTGTGTCAGGTGTCATCTGGGAAAAAAAAGTAACATTGGGCATATTAGCAGTTAATTGTTTTTAGAATCCTTTTTTTTTTTTTTTAAGGATCAAAACATAAGCCAAGGCAAGACATTTTAGAAGGCCTCTTTGGGAATATTTTCAGAGAAAAACTGTGCCATTTAGTGACAGGGATATGGAAACAAAAATATGTTCATTATTTAAGAGAACAGTACCTGGGCATGGTGGTACATGCTTGCAATCCCATTAGCTTGGGAGCCTGAGGCAGGAGGATCACAACTTCAAAGCCAGCCTCAGCAACTTAGTAAGGCATTAAGCAACTCAGAAGGACCCTGTCTCAGAATAAATAAAAGAGGAATGTGACTCAGTAGTTAAGCACCTCTGGGTTCAATCTCTGGTACCACAAAAAAAGAAAACAACAACAACAACAGTAAATAGCCAACCTAATTTTTCTCCTGACATCACAATCTACATTAATCTTTGTGCATAGTTTTACATTTTTTATTTACTTTTTAAAAATTGGTAATATTTTCACAAGGTCTAAAAATGAAAAGTTACAAAGGATCTGCAGTAAAAAAAAAAAATCAAATCCTATATCTGACTCAAAATCTTGCAGAAAGGAAACAGATACCTGTGCATCTTCCCACACAGGCTGTATATAAACAAGTACATAAAAAGTAAATGATGCTGACAGCTGGGTTTTTGTTGTTTGTTTTTTTACTGTTTTGCCCCTAGTTGTCACTTAGTGGCATATCTTGGAGATCTTTCCCTATCAATACATAACTCCCACTTCAAGCTTTTAACAACTACATCTTATGGATCTGTCACATCTTATTTAGTCAGTTTGCTCTTTGGGCATGTGATTACTTGTATACTTTGGTTATATTATGAATAGCAATTGTAAACCTCTTGGTGAGAGTGTACCTATAGGATAAAATCCTACATGCAAAATTTTCTAAGTAGATCTTTGAACAAACTATTTGATTATAGGCTATAATCTGTCATCAATTTTTTTTTCTAGTTTAGGACTTTCACTGTGTTAAAATACCAAAAATTCTCTCAAATGTCTGAAATATGACATAATAAACATTAACTGAACATCTACAATGAACAAAGATAATTCTATGGGAGGAACTGTGAAAATACAAAGATTAAAAAAAAACATGTCTTTCATGTATGAATATGGTTTCCTTCCTTTAAGATGCTTAAACATAAGAGCAAATGGTCACTAGGCATGAAAATGAGAGCTAAATTTATCTGCTAATAAGAGATACTAAAATAAAAATTGTGTTAGTTTTCTAAAAATTCTAAGTAATGGTGCCTTCAAAGTATGTCACATGCCATCCACCCCAGCCACCCTGTGAATGAGAAGTCATTATGTGTAGCCAAGATGCTCACTGGACATTGGGGCTGCTGTTATTTCTGCATGAGTAAGCAATCAGTTGAGTTCATCTCTGTATAAAAATATTAATAATGCTTGTCCATCATTGTTGCTTAGTAAAAATTGACATTTTACTCTACCTTTTGATCTAACATTGTCATATTTTTTAAATGAGTTAAATGAATGATTATCATTGCTTTAAAGAGTTGCTCTTTTAATTCAGTAGAAAATGGTCCACAGCAGATGCTCAATAAATATTGAATGGGTAGGCAAATGAATAAATGAATTTGAGTGCTGCACATTTTAATAAATATTTAAGAAATGTGATTCAAAGCTCCATTCTTTTAAACATATATTGGCTCACTTGGCAGCCCTTTTTGTCAATAAATTTATTCAATTGTTCCAATATCACATCTCTGGCCCTAACGAAGCTGGTTGTAAAATAAGAGGTTAGCAAGCAAAATACAGCGGCCTTCACACAGCCATGCCCATTTAGTACACTAGAAATGAAGGATTTATTTTTCAGAATGTTACTGTGCCTTTGACAGGGGCTGCTCCTGTCATGTCACTCATCTACCCTCAGTATAAATTAAGTTCTTATTCTGTACCAAGTATGGCCCCATACTGCTATGAAATGCAGATTTCTCATTACAAATCAAATGTCACTTCAGTTTTGGAATTTTAAAGGTTGAACCCAAACAATTAAGTATTTATTTTCTAGTTCAAACCCAATACATTTTTTTTTTTTTGGTGGTACTGGGGATGGGATGCAGGGCCTCACGTGTGCTAGGCAAGCACTCTACAAATGAGCTACTCCTAGCCCTGAACCTGACATTCGGCAATGAGAAAGAAAAAGAAACACCTGCCCAGGAGCAATGGTTGATGATTTCTTTCAAAATCATCTCCATCTGACACAGGCACATAGCACTGTGGTCTCAGCGTGGTGGGCGTTGCTACCCTGTGCTGGGCCTGGCCTGTTGAAGAGCTACCAGGGAATGACTTCTCCATCCTTACTGAACCTGGGCTCTGGCTGTCTCAGCTGCCTTCTCCAGCTTAGATCAGCACCATGGGCTGAAGTCAGTGGCCTTCCGCATAAGCACCAGCTTCTCCACCCTCTCCTTCCTTCCCTCTTCTCTTCCTTTTTCTCCAGTCCACACCCTACAGGAAGCAAAAGGGTAGAGAACTTGGCAGGTGTTTCCATGGTTCTGGCTTCCATTTCTTTACTAACTTTGCTTGGCTATAATCAAAACAGAGAGGCTCAAGACCTGGGTTAAGTCATTGAATTCCAATGGCTTTGTTTCATCATTGACCCAGGAGCCCTCCTCTCCCTTGCTTTTGATTCTGTTTTTATTTTTATTCAAAACGAAACAGGAAGAAACATTGTGAAAGTAGAACCATCATTTCTATCCACTCGCCTTTCCCATAAACCTCTCCACAGACAGTAAATGCATGTCAAGCCTATTAGCCAATATGGGAACATAGTTCACCATTGAGTATAACATCTCTGCTATAGATAAATAAAATTATATGACTTCTTTTTTTAAGTCCTAATGATAACTAATGTTAAGTTTCTGTTATTTCTTTTCTAACACCTTTTCTATGCTTGCATTTTTGCCCAGATGTGGAATAGATCAAATTGCATGGCCCTCAAGAAATGTAACAGCAAGCTAATGGGAAGGCATTTAGACCATTCTATAAGAATGTAAATTGCCAAGAGTTTACCAATTCTTAGCAATGAACATGATCCTGGGATTCTCAGATGGTTTAAGCTTAGTTTTATTGTTTTACAGTGATCATCTCCACATCTGTCACTCTTTCTGTTGTGTTTGTGGTGTCTGCCCTGGTGACATGCATCAAATTAAGGTAAGTGGCACAAGAGAACCACAGGACCAGATTCTTTCTTCCCAAGAGAAAAGAGCTACATCAGAATGATTCTGGGATGCCCTCACAAAGAAGAATCCCTTTCCCAGCCATAGACTTTCACGCTGAGCCCCTTCTGTATCAGCCAAAAGGAGCTTCAGAGTGGAGCAGGACTAAGCCAGTCCTAGAGAGCCCTAGAGAGCCTTAGAGTGACCTAGAGAGCCCTAGAGAACCCTAGAGTGCCTTTCACTTCCCACAGTTCTCAGACCACTGCTCTGAAATGGGAGCAGCAGAAACCAGGTCCGCCATGCAGGGGCCAATCTCCCAAGTCAGAAGGAAAGGATGGGGCTGGGCATACAGCACAGGGATAGAGCAGGTGCTTAGACTGTGTGGTGCAAGGCTGTAGGTTCAAGCCCAGCACCCACCCCTGCCTCCAAAGAAAAAGAAAGAATACACCCAATGCCAAATTGAATGAATACGCAATTTGTATCAGTTCTTCTTATGACATCAATATTTTCTTCTCATATGTACTTTTTAAATATGATTTCTTATAAATATATTCATTCACCACCAATTAATTCTGTATTTCTAATCATTGAAATCTGCATTTCAGCATTTATGAAAAGTCTGTTTTTTGTCAACATTTGTTCTTTTGTGTTTTTTTGTCTTTATATTTTTGGTACTAGAGATTGAACCCAGAGGCACTTACCACTGAGCCACATGCCCAATCCTTTTTATTTTGTATTTAGAGCAGGATCTCGCTAAGTCCTTAGGGCCTCCCCAAGTTGCTGAGGCTGTCTTTGATCTTGTTATCCTCCTGTCTCAGCCTCCAGAGCTGTTGGGATTACAGGTTTATGCCACTGCACCACACAGACATTTGTTTTTATATTTTCATTTTTCTAATCTTTAGGCATTTTATCTTTCTTTCAATAACATATACAAAACCCCATTTTGTAATTCTGTCAGTACCAGTATTTCAGTATTCCATACTGACAGGTTGCTCTGAATTTTTCCTCAGCATTATTCTATGTATAAATGTCAGATTTGTTAAAACTCATTTTTAGTTTCTACTAGTAAAATAGTACATGTTATGTCAATATAAAATTAAATGACCCTTGGAGCCTGATTTTAACAAAATAAAGAGTCCATGACAAGCCAAAATGAAAAGCAATTATCGAAAACATTCCATAAATCTTCAAAAGCTGATAATTCCAGACCAACTAATAAGAAATACAATAAACATAATAAATGATTTATTTATTACTCAAGAATTTGTTGAAACAATTCAAAAAATACTAAATATCGACAAAATAGAAAGTTATTTTTTAAAGGACTTTCAAAATATTGTTATAATTTTCATATAAAATGCTGTAATTAAAGTTATATTCTTAAGAACTTACATCTATTAAATATATTCATTGACTATATTAACAGGAATGTCCATACTATCTTTCTAATAAGTATATTAAAATATATCCTTAAAAAAAAAAGAATTTTTTACTTTGATATATACAACCAATAAATATGCTCATAAGAGGAAAATATCAATTTATTTACTATATTAAAAATGTATAAATGTGTCTTTAAGAAGAACTGATAAATATATGTAATTTCTTGGTCGTTTCGTGAATTGACTTTCCATAAACTTTTTTTTTTAAACTGGATAATAGGTACATTTGCTATCCAACAAATTGTTTTTTTACCAAATTTTTGGCAAACTGACCTAAAGTCCTCATTTAGTTTAGCTCCCATTCCAAGAAACTCAAACTGCTTCTCTTCTCATGGCCTAGGGAGCTGTTCATCTGCAGACAGGACATTCCATAAGCCATGGAAGAAAATGCTGAGGTAGCCACTCAGGGCCTGAACACTGAGATAGCTCCATGATAGGCAGGCAAATGTAATCGGACTCTGTCTCTCTATTCTTATTATCCAGGAACTGATTTATTTATTCATTTGTTGAATACTTCTTAAATTCTAAGAACTGGTTCAAAAGTTTCATGAATATTAAATCACTTTTACCAGCATGATCAAGCCTAGTTCAACCAGGCCCCTGGTTACTCTTTCCTTTTCTTGTCCCTCTACCTGCAAGGCTATTTAGGAAGAGGATTTGGCTAGTGGGAAGTGAGGGTGGGAATTTCTCTAGCAGCATTGGTGAATCTTTGCAGATGAGGAATTGAGAATACCAAAATAGGATTTAGATACCATGTGCACATTTAGGTTTTTGCCAGTCTTTGAGCAACACAGACCACTGAGGATTAGGTATTTTATGACACTTGCAGGCAGGGCCTATGTCTGCTTATGTCACCCACCCAGTGCTGGACATACACTTTCAATAAGAAGTATCTTTGACTGGGGGATGACTGTGTCCTCTTTTCAAAACCTGTGAATCATTGGCTTTGCAGGCGAATTTTCCAGCCAACTGCTGTTGAAATAGAGAATTTGGAAGCGATGCCAATGACTAGGGGGAGCAGCAGCAGAGAGGAAGACCATAGAAACTACCCGCAAAACTCTGAAACTCCTGGAAACCAGCACAGCAAAGGATGGAGCCAAGGAGCCAGCTCTATTGTAGCTAAAGAGGGCCTGGAAGATATACAAGGAGATGGGCATCAGGAAAATGCCCACCAAGATCATCAAATGTGATGACCCATATGGACTGTGCCTGGGTGCCTCTTGTCTTAGTGAGTAGGTTCTCCAGCACTCATATGGACACTACTCAGGGACCCAGGGGCCTGCTTCCCAAACTCTCAGCTGCTGAAGCTCTCCTGGGAGGCCAAAGGCTCCAGGAAGCTGCTGGTTTCACTTACACTGACTCAGGACAGCTTCTCTGCTGGACCATCTATTCTGTCCCTATTCTGACTTGTAGTTTACAGAGGACAGGAGTCAACCTTAGGCTCTCAATTCATCCCACGGCTCCTCCTGGACTGGGAGATATCTGCAGGGAAGACTCCAGCATTTGTGCTCCTAACAATCCTGTCTCCAGTGCTCTGTGTTCACTGAAGGGGAGCAAGGGAAGGCAGAACAGATTCAGAGAGAAATCTGAACCCAGTGACATTTTACATACGTACGCGTTCATATTTATACTTCCTTGTACATTATACCTACATATTATATATGATTTGTATTTTGAAAGTGTGCTTTGTATAGACAAAATAAAATATCTATTTTCAATATAAAAAATGCACTGAAAGAATCACCAACAAGAAATGTTCCACAAAGGAAGGAAGAAGACAAAGAATGGGAATGCAAAGTCCCAAATGAGTGAGCTCAAGTTTTCTTTGTGTGTTGTTATTTTATTTCTTTTATTCATTTATACTGGTAGTGGAGATTGATCTCAGCTATATCCCCAGCCCTTTAAAGACAGACTCTCACTAAGTTGCTCAGAGCCTCTCTAAATTGCTGAGTCTGGCTCTGAACTTGCAATCCTCCTGCCTCAGCCTCCTGAGCCACTGTGATTACAGGCATACACCACCACACCCAGCAAATCTTTTTTATTTTTAGATGGAAAAAGGACATAGAGTTTCATAGGACTTGGAAGTTCTAAGCTATTAAACTTTCAGCCAGATGTCCTTATCTAGCTATAGATCTAAAAAATTCACACTTCCTCCTCTTGCTCTGCACAATATTTGCTATGAAGAAAAGTGATTCCTCATCTTTTCCCATTTATTTTGATTTTCCTAGATCAAAAAAATAAAACTCTTGGGCTGGGGATGTGGCTCAACTGGTAGCGCGTTCGCCTGGCATGCACGGGGCACTGGGTTCGATCCTCAGCACCACATAAAAATAATGATGTTGTGTCCACCGAAAACTAAAAAATAAATATTAAAAAACTCACTCTCTCTCTTTAAAAAAATAAAATAAAATAAAATTCTTTTACTCTTTTTCTTTTAAAATTCATGTCTAGACATTAAAAAGTAAAAGGAGAACAGAAAGACACACTTGAAGACTACCTCATGTTCCAACTACCATCCACTTCTCCTCAAGGACCTCATACTGTTAGCTGAGCCTACACACCCTAGTCTCAGAAATCTACTCATTGCTTTCCCACAAATCTGTGCAACCTTGAGGCAGGAGCAGCCCATTTCAGACCATACCATCCCCAACATTTCCACTGCCTGGCACATCTCAGAATCCAATGTGTGAATATTATTCCAGAATTTATACATACATGAGTCAGGCGCGGTGGCACACATCTGTAATCCCAGCGGCTAGGGAGACTGAGACAGGAGAACTGCAACTGGGAGGCGCTAAGCAATTCAGTGAGACCCTGTCTTAAAATAAAATACAAAATAGGGCTGGGGATGTGGCTCAGTATTCAGGTACCCCGAGTTCAATCCCTGGTACCAAAAAAAGAAAAAAAGAATTTATACACACATGAGGCACTTTATTTATGAGAAAATACACTTTCTGGTTTCCTTCCCTTGGTGCCTGATTATAAATCTACCCCTGTTCTATTTTTGCTATTCTTAGCTATCCACCCTCTCCTCTTCAGTTTTTCAGAGTTTCCTGCAGTGTTGGAGTGCCTTGTAGCCCACAAATGCAGAGGACCCGAAGTCCCCTCTCCCTGCTCCCACCAAAGCATAACACTTGGGTCCATTGTTGCCTCCTGCCAAGTACCCAGAACTGTTGAATACAGAGGGAATGAATAAAATACAGGTGAATGTACAGAGCAGTTCCCAGCAATGGCCCAGAAACATCAGAGTGATTGCTATGCTTCCTACTCTTGGCTTTCCAGATTGCTTTAACTGTAATCCTTCTTCCAAAACTAATCCTCCACCTTTCTGTGAATCAATGATCCCATGATATTCTTCCAATATACTTTCTTTGCTTACAACAGACTGCATTTCTATTACATGTCATTGAAAAGTTCCTAACGATGTAGAATTCAGTGCCAGGCGTGAGTATTACAAATTACAGAGAAGTAGGGAAATAAAAATCTGTGATTGGTTAGCTGCCTTGGGCAGGGGAGAGAAAACTGAAAGTACTACTGGTGTTCTCAGGTGACAACTGAACAGCCCAAGCACATGGTAAATTAGTTCACCGGAAGTTATTCTGGGAAGGTACACCCACTGAAGGCCTACCTCTGGAAGATTGCATTGCTGCTGACCTAAAGTGGTGCGGCTATAGGAGACCCAGGGCCAAGATGAGTGGCTACTTTTAATGGCACTGAAAAACTTAGAAAATAACAGTGTAAACCTCTCAAATCCCAATTCAAGCCAGAGGCTGAAACCTAGAGATTTCCCTGCTGAATTTTATCCCTTCAAGATGCATGGCCAAGATACCTGTAAACCCAACTCACGAGTTGGAGCCTCTGATCTGCTCAGTTTGCAGTCCCACCAGGCTTCCTAGCTGAAGGGTTGAACATTCACTGGATAAAGATGAGACCCCAGTACTAGAAGGAAAACATTGGGGAAATTTGGGGCTCACATGTACCCCAAGCCCACCCTTGTCCTCAAAAGCAGCCCCATATTGTCTGATAACACCCTAACATTTCTTCCATGGTTGAGGAGCTGTTTCTTCAAGAAGAAGCCTGTTTTCCACATGACCCTCTCCTGAGCTCCTGGTCTGCAAAGGAAGGGAGTTAGTTCCCTGAGTATCCTAGTTAGACTCTCTGGGTCACATAAAGCAGGCTATGCAGTGAAGTGCTCCCCAAAGGCCGTGCAGAACACTCCCTGTTCACCCCAAGCCTCACCTCCCACTGTATTCTGGGGTCATACCCCTGCTTCCTCATGGGTCAGGCCCATCTATCACTGCTCACCAGCCTCACATCCAGCCTACCTTTCAAGAGCCAGCTCAAATCGTATCTTCGCATGTTAACTACTGAGGCACACCAACCATCTGCCTCTGAGCTCTTGTAACATTCATTCTCTGCTCTGCCAAACGCTACCTTGGTGCAGTGGAAATGACATTACCTAGGCAAACTGAGTGCCAAGTGTTCAGTTCATTCTACCATTTGCTGGCCTTGTCACTTGAGCTACATGCACTGGCACTGCCTTGCTCTGAAGTGAATGATAACACATGTTATCGACCTTCTCACACAGGTCTGAGCTCCCATTTAAGACCTAGTTCTCATCTTCGAGAAGCTTACAGCCTGGTCAGAAGGAACATGTCAAAATCATCATACCATAGCAAAAACCTTCTACTACAAAGCAGTAGGTAGTAAATACCAGGTGAAGTGTGAACACTGTCACACAAGTTGTGTAGAAATGGACATCAGTGAAAGTCCTCAAGATCTGAGAAGTACTGTGGAGTCAGGACATGAATGGGAGGATGGGTGGAATTTAAATAAATTCTCAGGGAGCATTCTAAACAGGGGACCCAAGCACCACATTCAAGAAAGGAAGGGCAAAGGAGTTGGGCAGATAGCTGAGAAAAATGAGAAGGCCACAGCAGGCTCGGAAGCATCATATTTCTTAATGCCTCCATATTAGCAGGGTTCTGGGAAGACTGCTCAGTAACTGCTTTAAACAAAACCAAAACAAAGCAGCCTGAAAGAACAAAGGTTTTGCAATGAATAGAACCTTGGCCAATGTCAAGGCCATGTCTCTGGCTCCACCCAGCTGCCCACTTTTGGCAAATATCCTCACCACAAATATAGGTAATGCTTTTTCTAGGACTGTTTCTTTTTTTTCTCTGGGCAAAGAGCCAAAAGTCCTAATTACAAAACAAGTGTATAATCTTCAAAACCCTCTGAGGCAAATGCACCCCAGCAGGTACCCAAGTTACTCCAGCACAAAAGTGGTCCTCGGCCAGCTGGAGTGCATGTGCCTGTTGGCATTTTCAAGGTATTCCAGAAGTCCTGGAGAATGCAAGGCAGCTGAGAGGCAGCAAGTGCACAGAGCCCTCAGTCCTCTATAATCACAGCAGCTATACTTTCAGTTGGAAGTAAAATTCGGTCTGGAGAATTCCATGGCAAGGAACATCTAAAAAATCTTCAATGCTGTTTTTAAAAACTGTGGTCTCCTTTCTGTGAAGAGCTTCAATTCTGGCTCTTCATATGGTCCCATTCTTTTCCTATTTTTCTGAAGAAGGACCATGGTCTGGGGACTGAGTTTGAGTTTTCATTGAAGTTATACTGAATAAAAACATATCTAGTGGTCCTGGCCCAATTCCTCATCAAGCCTGTTTCATCCTCTGCAAAAGGAGGCTGAGGCTGCAAACCAGGTGGAGGGGAGGATTCTGTGGAATACTGAACAAAAGGGCCTAATAGTGCTACCTGGTAGGAGGCACTTCATAAATGCTGATTCCATTTCCTAAATGAGATTTCTTTATGTATGCAATGGATAATCAGGGACCAGTAGTGGCTGCCTTCCCTGCTCCTTCCTTCTAAAATGAATTCTCACTTTGTTAGGGTTTTTTCTTTTTTACAAAGTCATGAGCATCAAAAGAAGGCTGACTGTACCCCAAGTTCCAGGAATGAAAGTGACTTTAAGCTATCCCTCCTTGCTAGTGAGTAGTTTAGGAATGGACAGGTGACCCAGCTCTTGTCAGCAAGATGTAAGATAGGCTAGGGAAGCTTCTGGAAATGGTTTTCTTGCTACTAAAAGACACAGAAAAAAGTTTACCCCTTCCAATACTGCAGTGTCTGAATGCAATGCCTGAGATGCTATAGACAGCTGGTCATAGGAGAAGCTGGCCCAGTCAAAGCTAACACTGAAGGTGACAGGAAGAGGAAAACACGCCCGGGTTCTTAATAACAATGCTGTGTTAGATTTTTGTCACAGTGACCAAAATACCTGACAAGAACACCGTGGAGGAGGAAAGATTTGTTTGGGCTCCCAGTTTTGTAGGTTTCAGTCCATGGTCATTGCTCTGGGCATGAGGTGAGGCTGAACCTCATGGTGGGAGAGTGTGTGGGAGGAAAGCTGCTCTCTCCTCGTGGCAACTAAGAAGCAGACAGAATTAGCTGGGGACAAAATGTAGTCCTCAAGGGCACACCCCTGAAGTTCCCCCTCCAACTAGGTTCCACCCCCTGCAGCTTCAACCACCTCTCTCTAATGTCATCAAATCATTCTGTCAATGGGTTAGTCCACTGAGGAGGACAGAACCCTCACAACCCCATCACTTTCCCAGAGCCCCACCTCTGGACATTGCAGCACTGGGGACCAAGCCTCCAACATAATGATCCCGTGGCACATTCCTGATCTGAACTCTAACAGAGGCCAAGCTGCTGAGATGAGCAGCCCTGCAACCTGTCCTCCTCAGCACGCCTGTATGAAATCATCACATTTCCTGTGTGATGCCCTTAACAGTCTTGCTTTTGGGTTACTCACAACACAATGTGTTTCAATACTGAATTTGGTGTTTAAAGCATAGATGTCATAACAGACCCTAAAATGTGAAACTGGCAAGACAGGGTCATAAGGCCCCTACTGTGTGAGGCTGTCAG